GCTTAAAGAGGAGCAACTTTAGCAGCTGCATGAAAAACTGTGCTTTTATTATGAATTTGCATCACTGGTGGCACTCTGTCAATATGGCAATAGGTGGTAGAACAACACTGTGAAGTGGACAGACTCAGAAGAAAAACTGGAGCAAGAACCCAGAGACAGACAAAGAGGGTAACATGTAAAAAAAAAAAACAAACCAAAACCACAAAAACATGAGGATGGAGAATATGGTCTCCATCATCAAAACTTCAGTTTTTCACAAGGCAGTAGTCCTAAACCTAAACTTTATCTTTTCTTTTATCAACTTCATCCGTTCAATAACAGCATCTGTATTTGTCAGCTAAGAACCCTAGCCAGTATTACTGTGACTGAAAATCATCATTCACTTCCATAAGTAATCCTGACTTCGTCATCTTAGCCACATTCATTTGGTAGCAGGTGGAGGGAAGTGGCCTGAAACACAGGTTAGATAAAACAAAAAGTTCCTACAGTTCTCATAAGGCAATAAAAAAATACCTAACCTGAGTCAGGCAGAATACAGGGAATAGCAGAGTGGAGAGATCTATGCAGGATTAGTGGAAGTGAAACAATCAATCTCAAAGCAAATCTTTACCTTTCTTGTTCTTCCACTGATGACTCCTACATCCTTTCAAAACAAGTTAGGGCATGAAAAGCTTGAATCTCTTGACACCTTTTACCACACAGGATTAAGTGAACTGAAGGAATTAGTACTGACAGCGTGTTTTGTCTCATGTCACGCTGCTCCCATCTGTATCATTCTAGTGGCCAGTAAAATCAGCAGTTCTTCCCACTGATGCCTTTCAATTCCTCCCATATTTAAGGTAAGGTGGTCGAGAGGTTCAAAAAACAGTCATCGATGTGAGACAATTGTCAGAAGCAACATAACTATTTTGGCTTCTGTTCTCCTATAGTAACTTCTCTCAGCAGCAACAAATTCAGTCATACAGTACCTTAAGCTATGGCTGAAGCAGATTACTGAGTGCAACTCCCCTGACCCCACATCAGAAACATATCTCTCTACACATGCACTTGTCTTTCCAGAGTTCCTGAGGCACCCACTCTCTTGATTTCAGGGAGTTCCAAGTATACATGTGGATGAGAAAAGGAAAGTGGTACTGACAGACATGGTTCTTTCCATAGTGCTTTTGTTGATGTTCAACATGCTTGCTTTCTTTTCTGTAACATGTTCCACATTCCCTGATCCAAGCACAGTTCAAGCAGTGGAATGAGAAACAACGGTGGCATGCGTTTTCACTAGTTTATTCTAGTCCTGCCTGGAGCTGTTAGCTTGCAGGTTAGGAAAGGCCCTTACTATGAGAACTGCCATTGCCAACCATGGAGCTGCACAGGAAGACAGCATTAACAAAGCCTTCTAGTCTCTTACACCCTTGGTACCTTACCTCTTGCATTTGCTACGTTTATCAACACATATAAAGCATTTAAACCCACCAGATGAATTCCCCAGTTCATGCACTCAAGATACAACATCACAGAAAGAAACAGCTTGCAAGTCTTAAATATACTGCAAATCTTTCCTTCATAGAGGCAAACGGAGCTGCTGACCAGGATAACTAAATTGACCACATTTCTCCTTCCAATGTTTCCTGTCTTGTGCAGAAACCTTGTGGTAGGTTACAGTCAAGGGAGAGCATAACTGGTAGTACCAGTTGGGTTCAAAGTACCCAAAGACACAGATTTACCCATTTTACTCTTCAGTTCTTGAATATTAACATCATAGGTACTCTGCTAAGTGAGAAATTCCACACAAGCAGTTGAAGAGCAACAACAGCAAGTTTGTGTGAACAGACTTAAAGTCACAGGAACAGCTACTTAAAACTGTATCATTTAAGCATATTACAGCTTAACTCAGTAAATCATACCCATATTACCAGAAGAGTTCTTATCTCTAACTGCCCTAAATATTTAGTGATTTCATGACTAAATAATTATGTTTTGCCCATTCCAAACATGGAACAATCTGATTCTTCACAAAATCAGGATTTTTTAACAATGAAAACTTTCTAAAATTTAGGGAAAAATAGGAAAAAAATCTGACATTTAGGAAGCCCTGTCTTAATACTTCTGGTTTGTTCAACCAGTTAGATCCTCTGAGGTACATATTAAGGTCATATTCAGGTTCAAGGTTTGGCAAGCTTGTGACAAACAAAAATTTCAGAATCTAGTATCATTGATTTTATTAAAACAGATAAATAATCTGAGGATGAGCTTTCAATATATTTAAAAATAACCATAAAGAAGAACAATTTGACTCTTCTTTGCCCTCAGTAGGTATGACGAAACATTCACCATAGCACTGTTTTTTCACAACACAGTGAAAACGAACACAAGAACTTCTCCTACTGCTACAAGTCCCCCCACAAGTCTCAAATAGGGGACTTAAATGGGAGAAAAAAAAAACATAATGTATACCTCTCTCACAACTGATATCATATTCTTCTGCACAGCAGGAACTTAAATTAAATTCACAACACCAACTGTGATTCTTCCCTCTTTTAGGACCTGGATCTCTTCATGCTGTAGACTACTGCTTATGTCAGACCTCAGTAATCATTATCAAGACTGAGTCATATATGTTTGTTCCCTTTCAAGTTGGAAATGGAAATAATTTCTTCCTTTAAAAGGGTAGTGCTATTTTATCCAACAGCTAAGTGGCTTGGGCAGACACTGATGTTGTGAAATGCACAAGCTGTACATCCACTCAAACTAGAAAGGATTCAAACCCACACATCCTACCTCTGAGGGCCATGACCCCCATCTCATTCTTTAGGAGGCTGGATAGTCTTAATTCTCCTCGAAGGGTTTGCCTCTCTGTAAAGAGGAACCTGAGACTCACCAGACCAAAGAACTGCTATTCTGCAGCTCAAGTGAGGAGCTCACCTGATGGAGAAAAGAACTGTACGACACTTACACTCCCATGACCATGTCAGAAAACAAACGATAATTAACAGTGTTTGTGCAAGCCTAAGAGTGAGGTAAGTATCAAGTTGTTATCTTCTGCTGATACAGATATACTGTGCAGCACATGAACATGTGAAACTTCTGGTATGTCTGAGAGTTGAACATGCAGGCATCGAAGCCCTAAGACCTTCTGGAGATCAGGGCTTCAGCTTTTTTTGGTGGCTTCATTCCCATTCAGTAAAGAGGGAATTGCACTACATTCATAAGGACGATAAGGAAAGACACTTTTAAAGACTGACAAGCTTTCAGTTGTTACAATATTGCATATCATAAATGTTCTTAAATTAGTATTTCAGGGCAGCAAGGAGATTGGAAAAGAAGGTGGTTTCAAAAAAATAGTTAAAATTGGTTTCCATCTTTGTAAATTCATGAAGCCTGCTGCTAACATCTATCATTGGACCAAGTGCATTTTCATCATTTAAAACAAAGCACATTATTTCCTCTCCTGTTCAGCTCTTTGACAGTCCTGGAAAAGTTACTGATCTGGAAGCTTCATCAGCCTCCCAGCCATCTAATCTGCAAATAAACCCCTTGTGACATGTCCAAATCTTTTCACAGTCCACCTCTTGAAAACAAATTGCAGGAGTAGCAAACCACAACTTGCATTAGCCTTGCAGAATTTGTAGCTATAGTATTTTTTGGTTGGTTGGTTGGTTTTTTAAAACTCCTAGCTTCTGAAGTAGTGATTATATGAATGTGTCTGTTTACTTCTTCAAATAAAATTGGAGGATCCATGCTCCTGGCCCTCTTTAAGGCTCAAAATAAAAAAATTAAAGAACTAAATTTCTGACTTCTCTCACCCAATCTTATTATTTTAGGACACTATTTGCTGGCTATCATTTTGTGCCAGGTACTGTGCAATATATGGAAAAAGAGTGTCCTTTCCCCACACTACCTATGTGCTAAACAGAAAAAAGAGAAAGAACCATGGAGAGAGAGGAATAATTGATGCCAAAAGACTCAGTGACTTACAGCAATAACTAGTAAGTATATCACTGACTGAGGCTCAACACTGTTCCAAGACTATGCTTACCACCTTCTTAGAAATTACTTAAGTGATACTAAGTATTACCAAAAAGAAATAGCTCTTAGAATTTATTACCTGAACACAGAAATGGATTTTAGCATTACTCAAGATCAGGAAAACCAAAACCACATCCTTGACAATAAGAGCCAATGACCATCAGCAATGTCCAGCTGAACTTACCTAGGAGAGCTGGACACTTTGTCAGTCAAGCCATGTGTGAAAAGCCTTATCATTTCCAGTAACTAGCTTTGAATAATTGAGATAGTAGTAGCATTTTACTGAAATCCAGCTTACTGAACTCCCAAACAGTGCTAACCTGATTGACCACAAGGCTTATTTTGCCTTCTTTTTTTTTTTTTTTTTTTGCTAAGAAATGCACACATCAGTATTCCCAACAAAACAACCTACTATAGGCACCTAGAAAGCAAACGTACATGCATAAACAATAGTTTACTACCACATATCTAAAGTCTGTGATTCCTACTGTAAGGATAACAACTGGACAAGATTGCATATACATATTATATATTTATACATATTTACAGAATAAAGTACTTTCAAAGGATTAATTTAAAACCTGCAGGACACAAATACCAAATTACCGCAGCATGAAACTGAAATTTAGCAAAACTTGTTTAAAACATTCTACACCCTTTTTTATATTAAACAGATTCCACTGGAGCTGAAAATAAGGGTGTAATCAACCCACTTAATTTTGCCCATTTAAATGCTGATAGAAAAGTTTACTAATACATACATATAATGTATAAGTTCTCATCTGTGATGAACAGCATTTCAGTTATAGCCTTTACTCATCAAAACCCACAAGGAACTTGAAATCATACACCTGAGGACCTGAAAAGCGAAAGAAGAGTGACTAAAGCATCAAATGATGTAGTTATCATCTGGTCTGCAGTCCCCGACCGTAAGGATGAAAAAAACACATCGACAAAAAACTCCAGCAACTCTGCCTCACCCAGCAAGGAACCCACGAAGATGACAATCTGCACGGTGGTGGTGAAGTGCCGGTAGCTCTGCTCCTCGCCGCGCTCATCGCTCTCCACGGCCCCGGCCTCGCTGACGTTCCCGCCCTGCCACACCATCTGCCCGGCCGAGGCGTTCCTCATCTCCAGAGCTCTGGTGACAGCCTGGTACGGGGCATGGTCGCTTTCATTCCTCAACATCCAGCTTTTGTCGTACCCCATGGCGGGAGTTCCTGCCCTCTTTGCTACCACCTAATAACCACAGGTGGTTGAGCCCTTGCCTTTAGCGAGTAAATGGAGCCCACAGGCAAAAAGGCGCTTCTGAGGATACAGCCCCGACTCTCGGAGGCATCTTCACCACATTCCTGCGTCCCGGGAAGCAGGGCCGGCTGTTCGCGTTTCCACCTTGTAAATCATGACAGCCAGGGAAGCAAAACAGAAAACAAGCCAGGCTTCTCCTTGCAATCAGCTCTCCCATATTTCTTGCTTCACACCGCCACAGCTCTCCTCAGCATGTTTTACTGCAATAAGCGAGAGTGAGGGAATCACAGTGCACAGAATCACAGCCCGCACCGCGGCTCATCCTCCCAACTCCGCCGAGGGTCGCGGCGCGCCCGCCGCACACCAGGGCTCACTGCACACCAAAACTGGTCTGGAAAAGTTGAGGGACCACAAGCCCTGTCTCCCCACTCCACTCTCAGTGTTGGTGCTGCCTTTCCTCACAGCTCTGAGAGAGGAAAGACATGGTTTTCCCCATGGCTCATCTGCTCCCGCTTTCTGCTCCTGCTCGCTCCTCCCGCGGTGAGCCACAGCTCCCCCCCTCGCCTCCCTTCTGGCTCTGCGCGGCGCTGGACGCCGCAAGGACCCTTACACAGCGACCAAAGAGGTCAATGACAGCTCGCTGGGTTCCACTGCGCTCCAGCTATTTCTCGGGAAAAATTAATTTGGTTTTAAATCCCAAGGCGGGGGGCGCTCGAGCCTCCAGTGAACCGAGAGGGCTCCGTACGATCCCTGTGCGCCTCGCTCTGAGCGCACCCCGCACTGAGCGCGGCTGGCGGCGACACCCTGCTCGTTCGTGCGCCAACATCCCGGCCTGGGCGCCGAGCCGCTGCGCGCCCGCTCCTCGCTGCCCCGCCAGCCCACGGTGCTGGCTGCCGCCAAGCCCCGCCGCGATCCCGCGGGAGGCGGCGGGCGGCACTGGCGGCGGCAGGCGGCACTGGCGGCGGCAGGAGCCGCCACGCTCCAGAGGGGCGGGCGCTCCGCCGTCACGTGCCCGCCGCGCACGGCGGCGCCGCCATTTCGCTCGGTAGCTGGGAGCATTTCTAAATCCGTTTTTTAAAACAGGTCCGTAATTCTGAGGACAGGATTTCGAAAGGCGGTGCTGGATTCTAGTGCTGTTTGTTAGAATAGATATTATTAATATATAATTTGCCAGTAAAGCTCCTCAGTAAATGTAATAAGTTTGGGCTTTGACTGTGCAAAAGTTGTGCATCCATATAGCGGGCGCACGTTTGCCTTTAATTTGAACATCTTGGGAGGATGGCTAGTTAAAAATCAAGACCAAAAAGCTTTTTCAGCCACTAGCCAGCCTGTCTGGAAGTGCTTCAGGAAGAGGAGCTACCCACGAACATGGTCCCTGCACAGCAAGGCATCCTCAGGGACCCCACGCCCACGAGATGTACTTCAGTGGCGCATGTCCTGTCACCCGTGATGTGAACTTGGGTGACACAGGACAACGCTGGGTGCTCTGCCATGATGTTTGCTGACCACAGGGATAGGGGACTGCCACCACCCCATTCCACCACAGGTCCTGGAGGCTGTTGGCCAAACCTCGGCTTGCACCTCTGTGTATTTGGCTCTTTGCAGCTTCCACTCATTTCTCTGAGAGCATGAGTCTCCCAGCTCATTGCTCCAGCCTTTTTTCCAGTAATTGATGTCTCTTACTCCCAGTGTGGCCCCAGGCTCAGCCACCCTCTTAGCCTTTTCTCTCACCCCAACTCATTCACCCTATCCAGCCAGTCCCATTTTTTCCTTGCTCTCCCCAGGCAATAATCAGCAGCTTCCACCATACTTTCCCTTCATCTTTTGTTTCCTTAGAGACCCAAATGGGCTGCTTCCTCCTTTAGGACACATTCTTGTGTCCAATTTCTGTAATCAGAGCCTGGCCTCCGTTGCTTTACCTCCCAGCCACCTTCAAGGCACTTTTCCTCATACAAAGCCATCCCTTTCTCCAGCTCCTCCCTCAGTATGGGATGATGAATAAGGAACCAGGCAATGGCTAATGCTTACTTTCTACAGCCTACACTGTGTACTCTCTATGTTGTTGTTGCGTAGATCTGCATAGTCGACATTAAGGAAGGATGACTTGGTTAAAGGAAAAGGTCCTGTGAAGATAGGTTACTCCTAGTTTGACTGGCAAATGGAACAGAAGAGAAGTAAGTTGTATGACCAGAACTTTGAAGGACACCATGGCCAGAAAAGAAATGTTTGCCTGGATTAAAGGTCATTTAAATATTAAAATGCACACACCTGTATATGCTAATAAATTTAATGAAGTACCTGCTACCACATAAATGACTGTATTACTCAACTCTTCACTTAGATCATGCTATATGTAACATAGCCAGAAGGAGACTGGATTGTTATTAGATTGTATAAGGAGGGCAGACATTTCACCTGTTAGGAGAAAGACCCTGAAGACAGCCGACAACCAATTCTGCGCTCCCTCCTCCCAACTGGGGATACTGCCTGATAAGCACGAATATAATTATTACCCAGATTAACACAATATTATTAGAGATCTATTATGGCTACTGCATTTATCAGTGGCAATTCCTACTCTGTATTTTTGTTGCTTAAAAAAACTGCACTATTTGTGCTTGTGGAAGTTTCTACTGAACACAGCCAGACACATAATGACAAATTAGTTATAATGAGAATAAGCCCAGCTGCACCCAGCCCCTCTGATTTCTGGGGACCAGACAGAATGTAAGAGGGTTTATTTTGTGCCAAATTTCTCGCTCTTAACACTCGGGACCCTTCCCCTCTCTCCTGCACTTCTCCTAGGAAGACTGATCTCCCCTCACTGTGCCCATGGGGAAGTGAAAACACATTCTCACACTCACTTCATTAAATTTTAGTGGCTAGAATTAAAATTTAATGTTACAACACACAATAGTTTTAATCATTTTGTCTTAAATTTTGGAAGGAAAGCTTCTGTCCAGATGCAGTCTGGCACAGGATGTTCATTGTATTCCAGTTAATCTATGGGGAACATGTGAATATTCCCCTCAGTAATGTAATTCGATTCAGTTTATGCAGGTTTTCACAAAGTGAGCTAGCAAAACCACAGCATTGGAAAAGGTTGTCTCTTCCCCTTCATTCATCAAATTTGATGAAAAAAGTCTTGGAGTTCAAGACTTTTTGAAATAAATTCTCAGAATGTTTTCATGATTATGTTATTTTACTCTGGCTTTCTTCTTGGAAACAATGAATCATTATAGAAGAAATTAAGAGAAAAAAAAATAGCCTGAGGTAGACATCTGGTCTAGAACATTTCATCCCAAACTGTTAAAAATATGCCAAGTCACAAAGAATGGGAACAATTGGGCAGCTTTAACAATGCATAATGTTGCCCGACCCACCCACTGCTATACAGTGTAAAACAGGAGAAGTTTCCCAGGTGCTGGGCTGTGTGCCCCACACCATGTGCTTAGGAAGCATAAACCCACAATTTCTGTTAAAGGAAATTTTACTTGCGTTTCTTAATTACTTACTGCATCACATCTAATTGGTCATTCTTGCTGTGTCTCTGTGTGGGCGAAAAGATGAATCTGTGCCCTAGAAACTTTTATTTCTTGTCTTTAACACAGGGAAACTATTTATACAAATTGATAGATAGGCATACCCAACTGCACCAGAGCAAACTCCAGTGGTCAGTTACAGTGCCCCAGGTCACATCTCACTGAGCAAAAGATCTATCTTGCTGCTAGATAAATGCTACACAGCTGTGGTCATGCATTTCCCACAAAAAACCAGATGAGACAGAAAGACCTTGCCACTAAAGACACATTCCAGGAGTGGTAAGGAACAGAGAACAGCATCACAACAGTGATACAATTTAATACTTGGCTTTGGTTAGATACTAATGAGCATTATTTAAGTGCGACTGAAAGATAAACATATACAAGGAACAAGCTTTCAATTTCAGAAGGAAAATTGAGGGCTATAGAAACTGTTCATTAGCATAAGTCCCTCCTTAAGTGGTGTCACCAAAACTCCGTTTATATATCTGGGTGCATGGTAGCAAGCTGCAGACTACTGTAAAATTTTTCTTTGCCCGGGGATTACTCACCTAGTCGATAAGCTTGTATTTATGAATTTACTTGGGGCTTCTTTATTAAGATCCTAAAACTTACTGGAGGCTACATCTTGTGGCAGTCCTGTTCAGTAGTTACTACAAGAAGTGACCAAAGAAAAGCTCATTTTCTTCTCTGGTTCCCACTGCTCTCCTAACAACCCCCAGGTGCCTGCCTCTGGCAAGTTCCACCAAGGGGACCCAGGGGCTGAGGGGTGTTCTTCGGGTCTGGCCTCACTTTGTGTTTGCAGTTTAATTAGCAAAAGACTAAGGCTTCTTGCCCTCCACATGCAGTCATCAGTAGAAACATTTTCATGCTTTTTACAGGAACTTATATCCTGCCTCAGATCTACATTAAATCCATTCTGAATTTTGTGGTTACCTTTCCATTGAGCCAATCTTTCTCAAGGTCTGTTAAAAAAATCTGCACAGTAACTAGTCGTATTTGCTGCGTATCCTTGTATTGTAGGTATAACTGGAGGCTTATCTTGGGGGAGTCCAGGCTGCACATTAGGAAAAGGTTCTTCACCCAGAGAGTCACTGGAACAGGCTCTCCAGGGAAGCGGTCCCAGAGTTTGGACAGCGCTCTTAATCACAGATTAGTTTCAGCTAGTCCTGTGAGGGAGGTGGCCTCGGTAATCCTTATCGGTCCCTTCCCACTCGAGATATTCCTGGTAGGCGAACCACCGACCCCAGAGGCAGCCCCCGCCCCGGCTCCTCCTCCTCCCGGCCCGCGGGGCGGTGCCGGGGCCGCGCTCCGGCACCACTCGCAGGGCCAGGGTGGCGGTGCCGCCCGCTATGGCCGCCGCCCGCCCCCGGGGGCAGCTGACATGGCCCGGGCCAGCGGTGCGCAGCACATGCCGGCGGAGACTGCCGGGGAGCCGCCGGAGAGCTACCAGCTGCGGCAGGAGAACGAGCTCCAGGTGCTGGAATCCATCTACGGGCAGGACTTCCAGGATCTGCGGCAGAGCCAGGCCTGGAAGGTAGTGAGCGGGGCCCGCGCGGTGCGGATGCTGCGGGGGGCGGAGCGGGACCGGGACCGGGACCGGGGCCGGCGGCGGGGACGCGGCTGGCGGTGCCCCGGTAGTGCCGGTCCATGTCTGCCCTGAGGGGCGCATCTCGCCTCCCCCTAGCCCTGCAAGGGATCGCCCTTGCGATTAGTTCTCAACATAGAAGTGCTCGCACTATATGCAGTGCTGTGGTTATAAATTGCATTTTAACTAATTATCAGGCTTAAAAAAATGGCCTCTTAATTAATTGCTTAACCGGCTATTCACATACCTGCTTAATTAATTAATCGCATCGATATATATATGATGATCTTTGCACAGTTATTACATGCTGTGGTTTTCTCAAACTGTGGCTGTTTCCATAACTTAATACTTCAGCTTTCATTTTTATAGGTTTGGGATTTTTTAGTTACACCTATTTGATGCTCAGGTCTAGTACTCGCTACTCTCTTGCATTTAACTTTCGTGTCTACAATATCTAATTGATGTTTTTTTCCAACTATGCTTTTGGCACTTTTTTCCTGGACCTGGAGATACTGATCACTCTTCTATTCTCCAAGTTCACGTCTACTGTCGTTTCTTTTTACATTCTTTTGTCTTCAGTTTCTACAAAATATATCATAGCCTCTGCTGTCTTTTTTTCCTGCTGTAGATCTGAACTTAAAATTTTTGCAGCAGCTTTGTAACTTTTTTCTTTTCTCGTGGAGTTTGGTGAGAACACTCATAATAATTTGTAGGGTTTTCAGAAGTGTTGCAAACCTCACTCCCTATTAA